ATATCAGTACCGGCAGACTGCCTCGATACTGATCTCGGAGGGTGTCTTCAACTGGTTCTAGAACGACAAAAGATGCAGGACCCAAAAAATCCGTTGTCGAAAGCCCTGAGATAAAATGCCGAGAAGCTTCGAAGCCGGTAAGACTGTATGAATTTCATATTTGTGGAGCGTAAGGACCGTGAATAGGGAGATCGAGGTCTGTATAGATTGACAGATCGCACAGCCCTTAAGTACAGCACAACGACTTGATCGGAACCCGCAGAAACTAGAAGGATGGGAGGCAGGCACACCTAAAACGGCAATCTTTCCGTCGTGTCAAAAGTGAGGTATAAAGACAGCTTTTATGTATTTCATTTGACCAGGCTGAAAGAGAGACATTCAACTGCACTTTCTGCCCGAAGTAATGTGAGAGGGAATTTTGCCATTGGTGCCCCAATTTCCCGGAAAACGGCGCACCAATGGCAAAATTCCCGCTCACATTCCGCAACACTTTCAACCAGGTTGAAAGTCTCCCTTTCAACCTTGCTAAAAGGGAAGTGTAAAGGCTGTCTTTATACCTCTCCTTTAACACAGCGGAAAGATTGCCGTTTTAGGTGTGAGGATTTGCGGGGCCCGCCAAATCAGCCAGAAGATGCTAGAGAAGATTCCATCAATGTATACAAGTGTCCGAATAGAGTGGTTGAAAGTTCTGGCCAGTGCTTTGGACGTAGGAATCACAAGTGGAGTCGCGCTGGCTGGGTGATGGATTCAAGCGGAGCTTCAACTGTATTTATGATCGACCCAACAGACCACAACAAGAAAAATTCTACTCACCTTTTCCTCCCTCCAGCATGGTCAGTTCCCGCATTGCTGAGTTGCCTTCTCAGTAGGCCCAAATCTGACCTGTGTTCAGCCCTCCAAGGTCGCCCCCGCAAAAACTGCTGTCTCTAAGCACAAGTTTGTCATCGACTACTCAAAGCCAGCTGCCGACGGCATTTTCGACGGCGCCGACTTTGAAAAGTTCCTCCACGACCGTATCAAGGTCGAGGGCAAGGCTGGGCAGCTCGGCGAGAGCGTCAAGATTGTCCGCGACAGTGCGTTCACTTGCACCACTTTTTTTTGCGCTTCTAATGCACGTCCTTGATGCACAGATGGCGCCTCAAAACTCACGATAACGACCTCGATTCACTTCTCTAAACGCTACCTCAAATACCTCACGAAGAAGTTCCTCAAAAAGCACTCGATCCGTGACTGGGTCCGTGTTGTTGCCCCGTCGAAAGACGTGTACCAGCTGCGGTACAATGCCGTGTACGTGCCTATATGTGTCAGCTAACACCTCGAGATTGACCATTTGATCCCTCGCAGGTCCAATGACGAGGAAGAGGAGGAGTAGACACCGACCCGTCGACGCTGGCTCGGACATATCTACTTAGCATGCTCCTATTGTGTTTTACATGAGTCCCTCCGTAATCCATGTCTCCATGCGTGTCACTCAAATATTTCCCCTACTCAGCGGGTCTTCATCTTGCCTGATCAATTTTCTCCATTGGACTTGGACACACTACACTATGATTTGTCTCTGATGTGTGTTTCAACGCATGGCCGTTGACCGTTGACCTGTGCATCTCCTCACTATCTCGTCATGACTGCCCGACTGCTCTCTGAGAATTTTCGGGTCCTCCGATCCGCACGGAATCCTCTTCCGCACGTTGTACCCAGCCGCTGTCCCCGATGCGAGATTATCAGACAATTGAGGATATGCTGGTATTCGTTTCCCATGACTCCGTCTACGGCTAGAGGAAGAGGTAGCGGTCGATTTTGAGTTTGGTTGATGAAGTCGTGCATTGCCTAATCGGGACAGAAGTGGTATACAGAAAAGGGAACAGGAGTTAGTGAGATAATGTTTGGTACGTGGGCGCATCCCGCACGGAGAGACGGGCATGACAGTATCATTTGGTCGTAGCGACTTCGATCTTCGTGGCTTCATGCAGGGTCGGCATTATGTTTTCCCTTTCGAAAGTGCGCCTCAGGCTCGCTGTCTCGTTCCCTCCGAGACCAAGTCTTACCAACAGTCTAGTCAGCTACGACAAAAATCCACCGTCCCACGAGAGAAAGACTGAATCGCATATGTAAATCAAGAACAAAACCGGTACATGATCAAGCCAGCAGTAACAGGGCATGTATAGATGGTAGATGGGTGTATGGGTGGGAATGGGGGGTCCAGAAGAGACGCACAGCTCGAATAAGTACCTATGGGAAAAGTTGAATATCCTGAATCTCAAGCTAGAATCCCCCCATCCGTTCGTCGCGGTGGGCGTATACTATACGATATCCACAGCCAACCCCGCGCATCCGCACTCGTTCATACGGTAATAGTGTGTGTGTGTGTGCCGACTCCCCATACAAACGTGCATACCGCCCGCATCAGGGAGATGGCAGGTGGGCGTCGCGTGCGTGAAGTTGCCGGTAGTGATGTCGTGTCGGTATCGAGAGCTACTCGCAGCTTCCTCTCCTCTGAGGTTGCAGTGTGTCATTTATGTAGTTCCGTCACGGGGTATCACGCGCCCGCGTCGAGCCGCTCCCCGCGCGCGAGAACCTTGATCACGCGGCCGGGCGCAGCGTCCATCATCGCGAGCGCGGCCGGCGGGCGTTCCACGAGGCTGCTGCTGTGCCCACCGCCGTAGCCGCTCACAGTCCCGTTTCCCTTGCTCCCACCACCACTACCGCCGCGAGCCCGGCTCCCCGCGCGCACGCGCCCCATGCTCCCCGTGTTGCTCGCATTCGTGTTCGCGTTGGAGGGGATGCTGATGGGGGAAGAGGCAGTAGCCGATGTGGCGGTCGATGCAGAAGGCGCGGACGGCGCTACGGGCAAGGCGGCTACCCCAGCTAGCGCTGCCCAGTGTGCGACAAGCGTGCCGGCCGCACGGGGCTCGTGCTTGCTGATGACGCTAGCCTCTGTGGCAACGGGGGTCGCAGGCGTGGGGGCGGCCGGAGCGAGGACCGCAAGGCGCACTGTGCGCTCTGCGGCGTCGGGAGCGGGAGTCGGATTGGACTGGTCGAGCTCCCAGCGCGCGCAGCACACGGTGCGCCGAACCCACTCGGGCGCCGCGTCAGGCGCGACTGGGAGTGCGTCGTCGGAGGCAGGCGCTGTGAGAGATATGGCGTCCCACGGGATGAAAGCGTCGTCCTGCTGCACGCGGATTCGCGGGTTCGTGCCAACCTGCGCCTCAAGGATGCGCGAGGCGGCGCGCGCACGCTGCGCCAAAGATGAGGTGCCTTTCTTGAGAAGGTCGAGAGTGTTCAGGGCTACAAAAGTGTGTCAGGCGTGGCTTTGATAAGAGAGAAGAAGGAAAGCACCTTCGAGCGGGACGATGACGACCTCCGCGCGGCCGTCGCGGCACCACTTCTTCACCTGGTGGAGGGCATGCACAAGCACGCTGGCATCTACGACGACGACATCCGCATCTTTTTCGTCATCCAGGGAGCGCCGCACGCCCGTTGCGGGCGGCGTGTTCTGTGGAATGATTAGCACACCGGCGTTCTTCTTGCGTGGCGCGGGCTTGATGGTGGTGGCAATGGTGTTATTGGTTTGCGATGTGCGCTTGGTCGAAGCCTGCGGGGTGCGAGAACGCCAATTTACGGAGGCGGCGGATTTTTCGAGCTGCTCAACCTGGTGATTGAGGAACGCGGCGCCCAAGGCGCGAGACATGGCCTGGAGATACGCTGAGCGACCGGCAGGGCAACTCGTGTAAGACATTACCTTCTTATCTGCCATTCCGCACAGAAGAGTAATATGGAAACTGTAGTCTGGCCCGGGTAAGTGGCGGATTTGTGTGGGTCCCGACAAGTTCGCTGTCTTACAGATGGAGTGCTCCCCGAGTCCTGTGGGTGGAGTAGAGAGTCCCAGTAAGGGTCCTGATGTTTCTGTAGAGTCTCTGCAAAAGCTGCAGGTCCGGCTTGTTGCAAGCTAGTGGCAGGAAGCAGAAGCGAGGCTCAATTATGCAGGCTGACTCAGCATATCTGCATCATAACTGCGCATTACCTTTTTCGGCAGTTTGCAGTGGCTCGGCAATGCGTCGAACGCAGTGGAAAAACGGCGTTCATTGCACCGCTTCTAGGCAGTTCTAGGCCGCAACACTGGTTGAACATTTCAAAAATTTCACTTTCTTTTTCAGTGAAAAATGTCGTTTATTTTTCACACATTTTTCACTGAAAAAGCAGGTGAAAATTTCAAAACATTTTCATCACTTTCTTATTTTATTTCGAATTTTTCACCTTGAATCGAGAAAGTGCTGAAAAAGTTTTAAAATTTTCACCTTCTTTTTCAGTGAAAAATGTCTGAAAAATAAACAACATTTTTCACTGAAAAAGAAGGTGAAAAAATTGAAATGCTCAACCAGTGCAATATTTTTTACATATTCTTAAAGAGTCTTGAATCCGGAAGAGTCCCGTTTTTCTTCTTCTGTGACTGTCAATTGGTCGGCGTGAAGAAAGTGGCTGCTGAAGTACCGTTGGCTTCCGTCCATATTCGCATTCTTTGGTCTGATCGGTGGTAATCGGAATCCGATATGCTGTGGAGCCGGAAAGAAATGAAAAAGGCGGTACGATGTTGATGTTGACTACATCTTCCACGATCGCCGAGTTCTCACTGCTGTTTCTGCCAACATCCATAGGGGAAAGCCTATGAAGGCCAGGATCCATACAGCCGCTGCTGCCTATGTGCGGGATTCTTCCCGATTTACGGCTTTTCGACCCGGAGGCTTTGTAAGTTGTTGGTTGGTTGTTGAACCAATGTTGAACATGATGATCCAACGAGAACACTGCAGCTTTTACTCCTGAATTTTGAAGTCGTCGGCGGGGCAAGACTTCAGGTCATTCAAGAACGCGGGAAGGATATACACGCTCGGTAAATTATTTGGACGGTGCGCTATCGATGGATTTCTCAAAGATTTGCCATCAAAAGGTCCATATGGCCCCGGAAGATAATAGGTCCGGTAACGCAAGCAAAAAGCGTACCACACTGGACAGATTGAGACTTGAACTCAAGACCTCTCGCATGAAGACTAACGGATCTGCTAAGCGAGCGTGATAACCATCTACACCATATGCCCAGGGTGAGTTGGTTACAATAATTAATTCTGAGAGGAGATGCATAGAGTGTCCAGTCAGTTATCCGTCCGCAAATCCATCCCTTTTTCTTCAGTTCCAAGGTGAGTCCAATTTCTAGTCGGGAGGAGAGTCAATAGACTCCGAAGCAACTTCAGCAAGTTAATTTTGAGGTAAGTAATACACCCTGCCATGATTCTTATCTAATCATCCTTATCTAATCTCCAGCCATCAACAATGGTCCAGGCCCTATGACAGGCTTGTGGGCTCCACCCATTCGTTCTGGTTTACCTCGAGGTTGTTATGGCGGAACCAAGTCCCACTCACCTTACGAAGCTTGATGCTTATTCAAATCTCGAGGACATCGATGACGCCGCTGAAGCCCTTGGCCTAGTCGTTACCACATTTCTGGCCGATGACGTTCTGCCACTCGACCCGCTCTACACCAACGCGGAACCATGCATGCGGCTTCTCAAGCGACAAGCGGACTTGCACGATGTTTTGAAAGTGGCCCATGTCTCCAAAGACTTTTCGGCGATCCGAAACCATGGTGCGTTAAGCGGATCGATGCTTTATTGTCCTCAATGTTTCCGAGCAGCGGCGCTCCACCGACAGGAAAAGTCCCGTTCAATAACGGAATATCTTGCCACGCTTCGACCTATAATTATACAATTCATGAATCAAGGTGGTATCCCTGCTTGGGAACCATCTCCGGAAATAGTGGCGGATCCCGAGCTGAGAAAGCATGTTGCGTCGCTCGGAATCCCTTCTGTACAGGGCCTACCAAACGTCCTTGTGCGTGGTCTGGGCAGCTTTGCGGATGACACAATCCTTTCTAGTCGTGTGAAAAACATATTTCGGAAAGGACAACACACGTCAGTCCACTATATGCGGTTTTTCTCGTTTAACTCACGGGAGGACCCCAGTTTTCTTGTTAATGCATCTGGTACCGGGAAAACGCGTCTGATTTTCGAAGGTCTATGTCAAAATTGGGGCTTCTACTTTGTTGCCGTGGTCGACTCGATGTCCACTGGATCCCCCGATGTCTTCCGCGTCCTCAAAACATATATTCCTAAATCTCGGCCCTTGTCTTTTTGGGAATATATTCCCACCCCTTCCTTTCACGACTTCCCTCGTCGACTCGCTGACAATAAAAAAAAACTACATCGGTACTTCCGGGACGTGCTATTATCCCGGCTTCTCGTGTTTTCTGTGTTTCTAGAACATGCCCATAGTGTGGGGATCTGCGCTCAGCATAAGAAGCTCTGGCTTATGGTCCAAGCTCTGCCACATGTCGTCGACAGATCTGGCGATGTCTTCAATGGCATGTTGATGTTGGTGGTCCACACGAACGAAAGCTACGTTGAAGATTACATCAGCTATCTCCTAGGAAACTTTCGTGGATTGTTGGGCGAGGACTTCCACATGTTTTTTGTCCTCGATGAGGCGCAATCCGCGTTCAGACATTTTCCAACGGCCTTCCGGGACGATGACGGCACGCTGTACCCTGCCCTGAGGGAGATCTTGGACTGTTGGGAGGGGCAGTTCCTTCCGGATGAAACCTCATTTGTGACGGTCGGAACAGACATTCCAAAAGTCGGCTTCCAGAACTCCCGACACGCCAGTCGCCATCGATGGTGTTCCGACACTGGCACATTTGATGACCTGACTTTGCACCAACAATATGTATCGAGCTTTCTACCTCCGTCCTACGTTGCATCGGAGGCCGGAAAACATTTTCTGCAGATGACCTGGGACTGGTGTCGTGGGCGGTCAGTTTGTCTCTACTCGTGATCTTGTTCTCTCCTCACGCCGTTCGGTAGACATCGCTTCACCGATTCCTTGATGGCCACACTGACCCGTGACGGCTTCCAGAGTCCACATACGCTACTCAACGACTACGTTCAAAAGAGCACTGGGTTCCGCCCCACCGACAATCTAGAATACGTACAAGCAGAACGCTGCGAGCGTGTCGAAATTTGGATCCAGAGAATAAATTGCAGAATTATCGACAGCCGTAAGTATCAACCATATCTTCATCCTCTGGTCAATTTACCTGACCCTGTGATCCAGCGTCCTACAAGCTAATAAAGTCTTCTCTGCAGGATATGCTATTTCATTCCCTGCTGGCTTCCAATCATCGTGTTACGTTCAAAGATGATCACATCCAGGTGGTCAGCCAGGGTTTCGGGCGATTTATCGATCCATCCATGTCCGAGATTAGGATCGATGAGCCCCTCATGCTTGTCGCTGCCGCCATGTGGTTTTTCAGACCCCCCGACGAAACCAGCGACGATTCTCCCTATAGTTATCTGGATGTTCTGGAGCAATACTCACCAACGGCGTCCCACACGTTTGCTAAAGTTTTGGCTGATCATCTCTGCCGAGCATTTGGAGAGGGTCATCCAGTATCTAGAGTGTTTTCTTTTCCTTATGCCCCGGTCCCAAAGTGGGCGAAACAAACGGCCGAGATCGTCACTCTTCATCAACATAATGGACATCTCGTGCAATATGCCCCGACCGCCTACTCATCCCTATCCACACCATTGGCCAGCGCTCCGACATCCCTTGATGATACTATCGCCTGGCTTTCCCACCAGGATCCTCAATGCGCGCCGTTTTGCCTCCCAGTTTCTGGAACTCCGGATCTTATCTGCGTGTTGAGGCTGAAAGACGGATCATTTGTTCGGCTTATCTTGCAGGCTGTAGCAACGAGCTCACTGCTTCAGGGTTCAGAGCTCAGAGACATCATCAAAACTATGAGCACTGGTCATCTTTTTGTTCCCGAGGTGAGGAAGATGCCTCATACATTTACTCTACAGTCACTGATAAAGTCAGACACATCACGGGTCCGATATCCACCAACGTGCCATTGACGCACTAGAAGCGCTTCCGCAATCACCGATCAAGCAACCGGGCCGGATCCTCCGCATAGTAGCGTCTTTTCCAGCGAAGGCAAACTTGAAAACTGCGACAAATAAAACCACTCGCGGTGTGGCTAATCTGAACACTGGTTTGTTCAGAACGCTCACGAAGGGGATCCTTGCAGCCGACATGGTGCAACAGATGATTGACTCGGTGACAGCTGGGAAGCGAAAACATCCGCTGATGGATGATGCATCCACATCCAAGCGCCAAAAATCCTAGCGAGCTACATCTACCAGCCTAGGTAGAATCTAGTACTGCTTCCGGGAAATTATTAGCATTATGTATGTGTTCTGTGTCCGATTGTGAAGGCGTCGTCACAGGAGAAATCAACCTGGCCCCACATGGACCCACAGAACGTCAACGGAACAATGACTTTTGTTTTAACGTCTTGTTCCAACATTCGAGAACATCGGCAATTGTCAAGTACCTTGTTCCGAGGCTTTCCATCAAGACGTCTTGTTCTGGAGCCCTCATAACGTCCTTAACACGGACTCCCCACCCACATCTTTTACCCACATCCTCTGAGGCATCCCTTCCTATGGAGACGGAAGTGGGGGAGCTACTATACAGACATCTTTCCGCTATCTGGGGTCTTTACGACTTCTCCGATTCCTCTGATGAAAAAGTCGATATTTTACTCGCACACATCGCCCTCTGCACTGGACAAAAAGCCGAAGACTTGATAAAGATTTGGAGGCGTAAAAAGGCTGACAATTCTACGCTTATTGCGGAGTTGAAGGCAGCGACAGTGCCCGGTGGCCAAGATTTCAAACCTATTCTTGAGCAGTGTGAGCTCCTACTACGCCAATTGAACGTGACTCACGGGTTATGCAGTTTCATCCTCGGTCAAGACTATTTATCAAGAAAAGCTGGATGTAGACCTCTGTTCTTATCTGGACGACATACGGCCAGCGATAGAAGAGATTATTGGGAGCGCAAATCCACTGAAGCTCTGGGTTCCAGATGCCAGTCTTCCCCACGCCACTTTCCTCCAGAATTTAAAGATTCTGCTATCTAAAACAAATGGCCCTGACATGCTACTTCATGAACTCGGCAACTTTATACAAAACCCAACTCTACAGAAATGCGTACAAGCTTTGTTCGTGCCTTCTAGTCAAGCAGTGAAATATGTCAACACGTCAGTTTCTTGTTCCTGTATTTCTACAGCCTGATAATACCTCGGTCCTGCAGCCTACTTTTAAACACCCCAGGTTCTGGGAGAACAAGATTGATGCTAGAAGGACTGTGTCAAAACTGGGGATTTTATTTCACCTGCCTGGTGGATGTTTCTGGCCATGGGTCGGCTGATCTAAAGAGAGCTATCGATAAGCTCGCAGATGACCCGTGTTTCGTGAAGAAACTTCCTTTGGATGGATACCAGGTCCCACATGAGGCAAATTGTGAGATTGCGCAAGGACGGTTCAAGGAGATGCTTCTGGCTTGCCTTTGCATATTTGAGCTCTTCTGCAACCTTGTACGTGAGGTCACTGTCAACCTGAATGACAAACACAAGAGGCTTTGGACATTATTGCAAGTAAGGCCCTCCTCACCCAAAGGACACTCGGACGTATTGAGTACTCTTTCCCAAACAATCAAAGGAATCGAATCCGGGTATCTTGAGCAACTGGTGCTCGAGAAATCGAAATCATTGTACACCAGCTTGGGGATGGAGACACCCTTCTTCTGTGTCCTAGATGAAGTGCAGTACGCAGCTACATCACTGACCGAGGCCTCATGACCTGGACTGAAGCCGATACAATACGGTGGCCTGCACTACGGGAGCTCGCAGTCGCATGGGCAGTTGACGATGTTCCTATCACTCTCAACCTTACCGGGACAGGAGTAGATCAAGACATGATTCAGGAAGTCATGGGTTCTTCAGTGTTGAAGGAACACCCAACAAAAGTGATCACCAATGTCGGGGCGTTCGACAATCTGGCCGAACAAATGCAATATATGAAACACCTTATGCCAGATGATTTTACGAAGACCAACGACTCTTCAAGAGGGCATCATATCAGCTGAGGGGGAGGTAAGCGTACATATCAAAGCAAGACCACAAACTGACACTGAGCAG